ATTTTTCAGACTACAGTTTGTGTTCCTAGGGTGGTTGTTGCTGTTGGGTCTCTGCTTCTAGGGCTTTTGAGTGGGCAGACCTAGGAAATACGTATTTTTTTAGAAAGAGAAAAATTACTTCACAGCCTTGAGCAGTAGACAGTATTAGTTTCATTTTATAAATGGGAAAACTAAGACCCAGCGATGGTAAATGACTTGCCCAAGGCCCTGCAGCCTGTGAGTGGTGGGGCTGGGATTCAGGCTCGGAGTCTAGCTCCAGAGCCTGTGCTCTTGACCACCTGCTGCTTGGGTGAGCAGGGCCAGAGCTGCCGCCCGAGCCCCTACCTCCCTCCCTTCCCACCCACAGGACAGTGGGGGGTGGACGCCCATCATCTGGGCCGCAGAGCACAAACACATCGAGGTGATCCGCATGCTGCTGACCCGGGGTGCTGACGTCACCCTCACAGACAACGTGAGTGAGAGTTTGGTCGGGATGGGGGAGGTGGTAACCACCCCGAGCCCCTGAGCAAGGTGCAGGCTGCGTTCCAGGACTCCCTGCCTGGGCCACCTCTCCCCTCCCACCTCCACAGGAGGAGAACATCTGCCTGCACTGGGCTTCCTTCACCGGCAGCGCCGCCATCGCTGAGGTCCTCCTGAACGCCCGCTGCGACCTCCACGCTGTCAACTACCACGGGGACACGCCCCTGCACATCGCAGCCCGGGAGAGCTATCACGACTGCGTGCTGTGAGCTCCCTGTCCCCTACACACACCTGGACGCCCCTCTGCCCCCTTCACGGCCCCGGACCCCATGGGCTTCCTGTCCTCTCCCAGGTTGTTCCTGTCACGTGGTGCAAACCCCGAGCTGCGGAACAAAGAGGGGGACACCGCGTGGGACCTGACTCCTGAGCGCTCTGACGTGTGGTTTGCGCTCCAGCTCAACCGCAAGCTGCGGCTAGGGGTGGGGAACAGGGCCATCCGCACTGAGAAGATCATCTGCCGGTGAGCGGTGCTCTCCCCGCACCCACAACCACCTCCTGCCCTTCCCCAGGCCCTGCTGAACCCTCAGGACATCCCCCAGCCCCGCCCCACACCCCACTGGGTCCCCAGAACCACCCCCTGCTCCCCAACACACACTCATCAGCTCAGACTGCCTGATACAGCAAATAAAAATAGAAAACACCCAGTTACACCAGAATTTCAGATGAACAGTGCATACTCTTTTAGTGTGTGTCCCAGGCAGTATTTGGGACACGCTTATACTAAAAAACTATTTCTTGTTTATCTGAAATTCAAATTTAATGGCGTGTTCTGCATTTCATCTGGGAACTTTACTCCCCATGCCCTGATGAACCGCCAGAACCACCCTCTTCCCTCCCACTACTCTCTCCTTGCACCTAGGGGAGCCCTCACCCCATGCTTTGGCCACCCAGCTCCATCTCTCTCCTGCCAGGGATGTGGCTCGGGGCTACGAGAATGTGCCCATTCCCTGTGTCAACGGCGTGGACGGGGAGCCCTGCCCGGAGGATTACAAGTACATCTCGGAGAACTGCGAGACGTCCACCATGAACATCGACCGCAACATCACCCACCTGCAGGTGAGTGCGGGGTCTGGGCCCTGCCAGAGGGACACCCAGAGCCGCCCAGTACAGCTGGGCAAGCTGTGGGTCAAGAGTACCTGGCCAAGGTGGTGGGGCTGAAAAGGAGCTCCGGTGTGGGCCTGTGTCCACCTGGGGAAGGGTCCTTCTTCTAGGACACGTGAAGGTATCCCCTGGGCTCACGGTAGCCCTGGAGACACCCCCATCAGCAGTATCTTGATTCCCCCTCACCCTGAGACCATCACTATCACTGCCGGACAATGTGGACCCTAGAGAAAAGACAGCTGTTAGGGAGCAGGGAGCCCTAGAAGCTGGGGGGCTCATTCTGGGGGAGGATGAGCTGACCCTGCCTCCCGCCCCAGCACTGCACGTGTGTGGATGACTGCTCCAGCTCCAACTGCCTGTGTGGCCAGCTCAGCATTCGCTGCTGGTATGACAAGGTACGTGCCCTTGCTCTGGCCACATGCTTATCCACTCCTTTGGAGGAGCTGGCCTCTGACACCAGCTCCCTGTGACCTTGTCCCTCACCTCCTACCCAGTTGGGGAAGTGGCAGAGAAAGCAGGGCAAGACCTGGGTTTCCTAGGATGTTACCAGGACAGAGATGGGCCTGGCCCAGGTTTATGCAAATCAAGGGCAATGATTGTGTGCTTCCTGTTCCCTGAACTCAGAGCATATGTGGCCTCCCCCAGCCTGTCCTCCCTGTCTCTGGGTTGGGGTCAGCGGTGGATTTTTCTGTGAAGTCTTGAGAGCCCTGGGCAGCTGAAGTGGGCACCATAAGAAACCATTGTCCTCCCCTCCCTTGATCCCAGGATGGGCGGCTGCTTCAGGAATTTAACAAGATTGAGCCCCCACTGATTTTCGAGTGTAACCAGGCATGCTCCTGCTGGAGAAACTGCAAGAACCGGGTAGTACAGAGTGGCATCAAGTGAGGCCCCCACTGCAGCCCACCCTCACCCCTTATCTCTTCCCTCCCATGGGGCGCTTCCAAGTCACTCCACCCAATATCACCCTCTCCCCCATCCCCAGGGTGCGACTGCAGCTCTACCGAACAGCCAAGATGGGCTGGGGGGTCCGCGCCCTGCAGACCATTCCCCAGGGGACTTTCATCTGCGAGTGAGTTGGCGGGGGGGGGGCATACTTTGGCTCCTGGGGGCGAGGGGCTGGGTGCAGTGCCACAGCTGACTCCCAGGCCCCCTTCCCTGCTCTCCTCGCTGTTGGATCCCACCTCTTTTTGCTGCCCCTACTCCAGCCAGCCTCCTCTGACCCCCATCCTCCAAGCCTCTGCTCTGCCCAGACCACAGGGACTGTGTCTTCCTCCCTCTCCCCTGCCTTTCCCAACTGGAGACAGACAGACCTGGGTTGAGCCCCACTCTGCCACTGGGTGTCCTTGGCCAAGTAACAGTCTCTTTGAGCCTCGTTTTTTTTTTGGTCTGCAAAATGGAGGTGATAAATAGCTACCTTTCTGTTTACCCCAGGGGCCTCTCCATCCATCAGCTCTTTCTCTTCCCAGCATCTGTAACCTCTTCCTGACCTCCAGCTTTTTATTCCATGGCCTTCAAACTTAATCTAGATCTCCTTTGGCCTTTAAAAAAAAACTGCCCTTCAGCCCCATTTGCCAATTTAAGAGACCATTCAGGCCTGTCCCAACACACACCCACTTCCAGATAATGTCCATTGTCCTCCAGGCCCACTGTGCCTTGGGTCACCCACCCCAGCAGCGTTGATCTGTGAGATTCACAGACAGTGACTGGGACAGCTGTAGAAGAGGATTCCTGGGGTGGTGAGGAGAGACAGGGCCTGGAGCCTGCTCCCAGTAACCCGTGCTCAACAGGTATGTCGGAGAGCTGATCTCTGATGCTGAGGCTGACGTGAGGGAGGATGATTCTTATCTCTTCGACTTAGACAACAAGGTGGGCAGAGACCCCTCTGTCCCTCCCCAGTCAAAGGATGGAAACCTGGGGAGGAGGGACTGGATGGCCAGGGGTGGGGAGTTTGGTCAGGCCAGCAGGGTAGTGTTGGACGTGATGAGTGACACCATTCCCTCAGGATGGAGAGGTGTACTGCATCGATGCCCGTTACTACGGCAACATCAGCCGCTTCATCAACCACTTGTGTGACCCCAACATCATCCCTGTCCGTGTCTTCATGTTACACCAAGACCTGAGATTTCCACGCATTGCCTTCTTCAGTTCCCGAGACATCCGGACTGGGGAGGAGCTGGGGTGAGGTGTCCTGGGGCTCGGCCAGGGATATGGGAGATGCAGCAAGCCTAGGACCAAAAACAGAAGGCTGGAGAGTGCCCGGTTCCCATGTGTGCGTTAGAGCAGAGCTTCTCCGCTGTAGACAGTCCTGAGCCTCACAGATTTTGGTTCAGTAGGTTTGGGATGGGGCCTGAGAGTCTTCATTTCCACCAACCTACGAGGCAGTGCTGGTGCACAGGTACATAGAACGTGGGAGGGCTTAGAGCCCATGGGCTGGGTGCTTTGGCGTGGGGCTGGGTCCCACAGACCTCTTGTGCTCCTCTGACAGGTTCGACTATGGTGACCGCTTCTGGGACATCAAAAGCAAATATTTTACCTGTCAGTGTGGTTCTGAGAAGTGCAAGCACTCAGCTGAGGCCATTGCCCTGGAGCAGAGCCGCCTGGCCCGCCTGGACCCCCACCCGGAGCTGCTGCCTGAGCTCAGCTCCCTGCCCCCTGTCAACCCCTGAGAGTGGACCACCCACCCCGCCCCATGGCCACCTGCTCAGCAGCCACCTCTGCCCTTGCTGCTCACAGTCCACACCTGAGGGTGCTACCATCTTCTCTCCCCCGCCCCTTCACACATTCCTCAGCCAGAGATCCCAGCCAGGCCCTGGAGGTCTGACAGCCCCTCTCTCCCAGAGCTGGTTCCTCCCTGGGAGGGTGACTTCAGGGCAGGCCACCCCCCACCCCCATCCTCAGCTTAAGTTTGATGAATTGAAATTGGGCCTCTATGCTAACTGGTTTCCTTTGTTCTCAATAAACGTTGGGTTTGGTAATAAACTGAGTCACTGTTGATGAGGAAGCACACAGGGCCGGAGGAATGTGGGTCCCAGGGGGCACAGAGAGGGAATGGGAAGCAGGCCAGACAGGTGTGCTGGTGTGGACAGCCACCTGGGGGGAGGCGGGGGCTGTGGGGGATTACTGTGGGCAGGGTCTAGTCAAGGGCAAATCTCATCTCCACACTTAATCTTTGGCAGGAGAGTGTGGGTGTGAGAGTACCACGATTGAGGTAGTTTGCAAAACCATGAAGGATTTTCTTAGAGCAAGTGTTCCAGGCCATGGTCCATGAGGCCCGCAATAAGCAACCCTAACCTGAAACCCTGTCCCAGGCTTGCTTTCCAGCCCTCCGCTGGAGTCAGGGAGGAACTAGAGTGTGTCAGGGACCACAGGCGGAGGTGGGGCTGTGACGTGTGGGTGGGCGGGGCAGGTAGCAGGTGAGCGGCCAGGTCTCCCAGGCTCCAATCACTCCAGAGACTGAGCCATGGGGGGAAAACAGGACCAGGACGAGAACTACGGTAAGGCTGCAGGCAAGGCTGGGGTGGGGAGCCCATGACGGAGGCGACCCTGTGAGGGAGGGTAGGCCGTTCGGCGTATGGAGGCTGGGACGGACCACAGGGAGAGGAGCTGAGAGGAGTCGTGGTCCCTGAGGGGAGGGCGCAGGAAACAAGCTGATGGAAGGAGGTAGAGTCAGGGTCCTGGGAGGAGGATGGGGTTCAGGGGCTGAGGGCCATTTCTGGGGAGAATTTGGGAAGTAAAGCTGGGGTCTCCATGAGGAGTCGGGGCTGGAGTCCTTGGGAGGAGTGGGTGGTGTTAGGCCTGGGCCCTGGGAAGCAGTCTGAACAGGAGGCAGAGTCAGGGAGAGTGGGGAAGGGGCTCGGGCTGGGAGTGTCACGTGCTGCGGAGCCTGGGACTGGGACGGGTGAGCTGGGATCCCTGAGAGGAGGAATTTCCGCCTGGACACTGAATCTCTGAGGGGAAAAGGTGCTGGGGTTCTGCCCGCTGGAGTCTGTGAGGAGTGGCAGGGGAGTGGGTTCTGCTCGGGGTCCCGATGAAGAGTCAGGGCTGCGGATCTTGATGGAAAGGTGACTGGTGACCTGCACCCAGGGTCTCCGTTAGGAGGGAGGCTATCTGAGAGTACACTGAGGAACAGGGGCAGCGGCCCTCTGGGGTTCCTGTGAAGGGCAAGGCCTGAGGAGAGGGGCAGGGAGCTTGTCTCCAGAATCTCTGTGAGGAACAGGAAGCTGAGAGTCTGTCCTGGGAGTCCCGAGGGCTAGGGGTGGGGGGCAAGGTGGGGGAGTCTGAAGGGAGAGGGGCCAGCCTCTGGGATCCCTGTGAGCAGTAAGGTCTGGGGCCCGCCTGCAGAGGTCCCCTGGGGTTTGAGGGATCTGAACTCCTGGTCTGGAATGGAGGGAACCGAAGGGAGGGGCCTCCCAGAGGCGAAGCTTGGTCAGAAGGGAGTGAGGGGAGGGAGGAGGGAGGACTCCCAGGAGACTTCCTGGAGTGGTTTTGGGTCAATCATTGACATCATGTCCAAGAATCATGGAGGAACAGAGTCCAGAGCACCTAGAAGAATGGACCGCACCCCTTCCCACACTCCTGCCCAGCCCTCTGTACTCCCTCCTCGGTGCCCACATGGGACCCTGGCTGCCTGGCCCCACCTCCTCCCTGTGTGTACTCAGGGAGGACCAGGAACAGGACGTGGCCACAATCTCAACAGCCGGGCTCAAGTGTCACTCTGACTGGTCTCCCAGGGACTGGCGGTAGCCTGGAGACTAAGGTCCCTTTGGGGCGGGGGGGTCTACAGGGGCCCCCTCCCTCCCCAGGCCCTGCAGGAGTTGATGCCTTTTGCTCCAGCTTCTTTCCCCACAGCCTGGGGCCAAAGGGTAGAGAGATGGGCTGAGGTAGATGTAGGGCGGGGCTGTGACCTCCCTGAGGGGCTCCAGATCTGTGCCCACCTTGGCCTGGGAAGGAGTATGGGGAGGGGAGAGGGACAAGGATGGGGGTGTGAGAGCAACTGAGACGGCTGAACACAGAGTCCCACATCCCAGCTGGAGGGAGACTCTGGAGAAAGGAGCCAGGGTTGGGGAAGTTGATGAAGGCAGTTTCCTGGCCCCTGGCCGAGGGCCTTGAGGTGTGAGCAGTAAATGACTGGAAAAGACTGCACTCTCCCCTCCCTCCAAGGCCGCCTAGTTGGAGTTCACTGTGGGTGAGCAGTGAAGCTGCTGACCAAGCCTTGATCCTACCTTTCCTGTTCTGTAATGTCCCTCCTGCCAGCCCTGCCCCTGTCCATCTCCCACCAAACTCCTAGGGCTGGGTAGGACCTGGTGCCGGGTAGAGCCTGCTGTGGGGAAGGATTTGGAGGGACTGGAAATGGGGGGAGAGACTCCTCTCATTGCCTCACTCTGCACACTCCTCCCCATGCCTTTCAGGAAAACCAGCCAAATATGACCCCTCCTTTCGAGGTCCCATCAAGAACAGGTGAGTTCTGGGCACTGCGCTGGTTGGGGCAGCAGCATCTGGGGAGAGGGGCAGTGTCTCGTTTTTGCTTCATATTTACTGAAATATTGGTAAGAATCTACTTGTGAGGGAAAAGAAAATCTTTCCCCAGGACAGTGGTGGCCTTGAGGAGACTGTCATGTGTGGAGGGGACAAAAGGGGGCTTCCGGGGTGTTGGTGATGTTCTATTTCTTGACCTGGGAGCTAGCTACACAGGCCTGTGCCCTTTGGGAAAGAAAATTCATCCAGTTGAGCATTTATGAATGGTACACTTTCTGGTGTTAAACTTCAGAAGACAGTTTACTTATCCAAAAAAAAGGGTTTTCTTTAAAAAAGAAAGAAAGGAAAGAAAGAAAGAAAAGAAAGAAAGAAAGGAAAGAAAGAAAGAAAGAAAGAAAGAAAGAAAGAAAGAAAGAAAGAAAGAAAGAAAGAAAGAAAGAAAGAAAAGAAAGAAACCTACCTATGCTTACTTTCCAGCGTCCCCCAACTCCCCAAACCATGACACCTCCAGACCACGCCCCCTCCCAGCATCCCCTCTCCAAAGGTTTCCCCCATTTCTCTCCCAGGAGCTGCACAGATATCATCTGCTTTGTCCTCTTCTTTGTCTTCATTCTGGGTTACATCGCGGTGGGACTTGTGGGTGAGTTTCTGGCTATGCAGACCTGGGGCGGTGGGCTGGGGGACTTCATTGTCCCAGGGAGGGACTACACCCATGGCTGTTCCTTCCTAAATACCTGCCCCCTCCTGTGATTCATCTCTGTGTCTCTGTCTCCAGCCTGGGTGTATGGAGACCCCCAGCAAGTCCTCTACCCCAGGAACTCTACTGGGGCATACTGTGGGGTTGGGCAAAACAAGTGAGTATGAAGGCAGGAAGCGGGGTGAGGGGGGGGGGCTGGAGGGAGGTGAGGGGGGGGGATGGGCAGGGGACCACCCACCTCTACTCGGGCTCCAGACCCTTCCCCTGTTGTTTCCATGCCCTACTCAGCCTCCCTGAATCTCACCACTCCAGGCCACATTGAATAGCCTCCACTGCTGGTTAGTGGCTTCTGAGTCCCCCCAAGTTGGGAGATAGTGTAGCATCAATGATGAAGGCATGGGTTTTGGACTGGCATTTGAATCCCCAACTGGGCTAAGTAAGTTCTGGTTTGTGACCTTGGGAAAGGTACTTAACCTCTCTGAACTTTGATTTCCTCGTCTAAAACACAGGGATGATTCCAGAAGTAATGCTGTCGCTCCTAGCATGCAGAAAATGTTCGATAAATAATAAAACCTCTACCACTTAGATGGCATTTACTGTGTTTCAGGCAGGCAATGTACTTTGCACACAGACTCATTTAAACCCTATGAGATGTAGGTACTAATATTTTACATATGATGGAACTGTGGTAGTGAGCGGTTTAGTGACTTGCTCAAGGTCATAAAGCTGGGTGATGATTTAGCTCCAGAGTTCAAGCTCTTAACCATTTATTAGCAGTGGTGATGCTGAATTACTCTGGAAATCTTTCTGGTGTCTCCCATACCTCCTCCCTGGCTGGGCTGAGCATCCTGAGGCCAGGAAGTGGGTGGTGTGTGTCTAGGCCACACTGGGCCCATTGCATGCTTGAGATGCAGCCCTGGCAGTCCCTCTCCTTCCCCGAGGCCTGCCCAAGACCTGGTGTATACGCTTCCCTCTCTCTTGCAGAGATAAACCATATCTCCTGTACTTCAACATATTCAGCTGCGTCCTAACCACCAACATCATCGCGGTCGCCAAGAATGGTCTGGAATGCCCCACACCCCAGGTCAGAGCCTGGGTCCTGCTTCTGCCCCCAGATCTCCCCCAGGGTCTGGATACCAGCCCCTTAGCATGCTCTCTGCCCCCAGGTGTGTGTGTCCTCCTGTCCAGTGGTCCCATGGACCGTGGAGCCGGAGCAGCTCTCGCAGACGGTTGAGAAGGTCTTCTATGCTGCAAATAGGAGCTTTTGTCTGCCAGGGGTGTCTGGGGATATGGTGAGTGCTGCCCCCAAAATCATTGCTGTTGCCAAGGGGGGTCCACAATGAGAGGGGTGGAAGCAGGAATTGGGTAGATAATCATGGTGGTGGAGGGGGACTCATTCCTTCATCCTGCTGTGTCTGTGTGTCTGTCTCTCCTCTTCCCACCCCCCAGGAAGTGCTTGAAAGCCTGCAACTAGAGCTCTGCCCCAGTTTCCTCCTCCCTTCCACTCCAGGTGAGAAGTTGAATACCTTCCTTAAACATCAGCCAGTCTTGTATTTTCATTCCTCAAACGAGGAAAGCAGGCTCAGAGAAATCAAGTCACACAGCTTGTCTGTGACAAAATTGGAATGAGCACAAGGTCTTCATTTTTTCTCTGCTGCATGACCCTGTAATCAGATCATCAGTGCTGATCACGCACCTGCTGTGTGCCGGGCACTGGGGACAGGTGAAGGGAAGATGAAAACTGCTCCCCGTCTGAACTGCATTCTAGGTGGTACGATCAGAGAGGTTCATGAAGAGATCGCATGAGATTGCCGTGAGAACCTACACTTGCCTTTGTGCATCAGCATAGGGAACAGACTGGAAGGATGTTCACCCAAATATGTTAAAGAGAGTATGGCCAGGCGGTGGGATCACAGTTGACTTTTTTATTTTCCCTCTATGCTCTTCTGTGCAATAGTAAATGTTATTTTTAATAGAAAAAAATTAACAATAGCATGAGAAAAGATATCCAGTTCTCAATACACATGCCATAGGAAGTGTCTCCAATGAGGTCAGATAGGCTCCAAAGGTCAGATAGATCTGGATTTCAGTTCAGCACTTTCCAGCTGTGTGGTCTCGGGGAAATGACAGCCTCTTTGAACCTTGTCTCCTCATCTTTAGAATGTAAATGCCAAAGCGAGCCTACCTGGTAAAGTTGCCTTGAGGGTGGTGATAAATGGCCCTGTAGGCATGTGATAGGTGCCACAGGAGATAGGGGTGGGGTGAGAGGGCTTCCTGGAGGAGGTGAGGTGGAGATGGAACTGAACAGGGCATCACAGATGGGATTTCTGGAGGAGAGAGAGCAAAGGTACAGAGGGGAGGGGAAAGTGGCTGGGCTAGGACAACAGGGTCTTAAAGCCTGGCTTTAAGATGTGGGCACTCTCCAGGGCAGGGCGTCTGGAGGTGTCTGAGCTGCAGTGATTTAGAGCCCTGGAATTCTGAGGTCCAGGCCAGACCAGGTCATGGTCTCCCGGGCACTCTGGCAGAGGCTGGATTGAAGGTTGGCAGGGTTGAGGGTGGAGGTGCTTTAAGAGGTAGGCCAGAGGGGAGGAGGGCAGGCAGTGGCAGAGAGGGGAGGAAGGAACATTAAGAGACAGTGAAGGAAACACGGACTGGGTTCCTGGGACAGGAGCTCCCTTTTGGCTGCAGAATCAAGAGCAGCACTCCCAGGGCACGGGGATATAACTCAGAGGTGGAGTATGTGCTTAGCATGCGCAAGGTCCTGGGTTCAATCCCCATTAAAAAAAGAAAAAGAGCAGCCCTCTGAAGAGGGCACAACCCTTCTCAACTCTCAACTCGGCTAGAGTGGGGGCCAGAGACTTTCAAGGTAAAGCTCTGGGCCCTCCCGTCCAGTCACCTGGTTCTCTCCCTCCAGCTCTAGGGCGTTGTTTCCCATGGTCCAATAGCACTGTGCCCGAGCTCACAGGGATCTCCAACACATCCATCTCCCAGGGCATCAGGTGGGCACCCCCCTGCCCCCACCTCCCTGTCCCGCACCCCATCCCACCCACAGCCCCATCTGACTTTGTCTCCCCAACAGTGGTCTTCTTGATGGCCTCAATGGCCGTGACATCAGTGTCAAGATCTTTGAAGACTTTGCCCAATCCTGGTATTGGATTCTTGTGTGAGTCACCAGATACCCCTGTTCTCTCCTTCCCTTCCATGAAACACAGGCTTTGGATCAGGGAGGAGGAGCTGGAGCTCAGAATGGATCCCAAGCTTGACAGGATTTATAAGGGGCGGTGGGGTGGAGGGGGTCTGATCTGGGGACACTGGGGACCTCTGAAAGGGGAAAGGTTTGGGGGATGTGGGGTGACCCTCACCTGCCTCACCCTGCCCGCAGTGCCCTAGGCGTGGCTCTGGTCCTGAGCCTGCTGTTTATCCTGCTTCTGCGCCTGGTGGCCGGGCCCCTGGTGTTTGTGCTGATCGTAGGGGTGCTGGGCGTGCTGGCCTATGGTATATACCACTGCTGGAAAGAATACAGCGTGCTGCGGGACCAGGGTGCCTCCATCTCCCAGCTGGGCATCACCACCAACCTCAGCGCCTACGGCAAAGTTCAGGAGACCTGGCTGGCAGCCTGTGAGTGTCCTGCCCACCGATGAACCACCTGCCACTCAAGGGTGGCCCTGGGCCATCGCCTGGCCCTGGGTCCCTGGACCCCAGGGCCCCCTCTCGCCCCCGTACTACCCCTAGTCG